CTTTTATTTTTTAAAAATGATTTGTGAATCTGGCAGCCTTCTGAGCCAGAGTAGGCTCAGAAACTCCTAGGAATGTGGCTTTAAGCCTAGGTGCGTCTGACACAAAATCATGTGTTCTTCCTCAAATCTACATGGCCTAACTACAAAGAGAGCGGTTTAGAACAGACTTTTAGATTCCATAGAGGGAACTGGGTGCAAGCATAAAAATCAGATAATTTAAAAGAAAAAGGCAAAGAGTCAAGGTACCACCTAAACGCTGTCTACGCTGCCTCCGCCCTCCTGCCAAACAGCATCCCTTGAGTTTAAGAATTCAGTTTCAGCTCAAGCACAAACTTTTTATGGGTGGATGCTGGCTGAGCCAAAGAGGAATTACTTCAACAATCATTTGTTGCATGACCTTTTTTGGTTTTTTGTTTTGTTTTGTTTCAAGGAGTCTTGCTCTGTCACCCAGGCTGGAGTGCAATGGCGCAATCTAGGCTCACTGAAACCTCCACTTCCCAGGTTCAAGCGATTCTCCTGCCTCAGCCTCCCCAGTAGCTGGGATTACAGGCGCTGACCAGCGCGCCCAGCTAAGTTTTGTATTTTTTAGTAGAGACGGGGTTTCACCATCTTGGCCAGGCTGGTCTTGAACTCCTGACTTCATGATCCACCCGCCTCGGCCTCCCAAAGTGCTGGGATTACAGGCATGAGCCACCGTGCCCGGCCTCACACCCCTTTTCAAAGTAAGCTGTTATGGACTCATAGGACTGGCAAATACTTCAGAGAGTAATCCCTCCATTTTGTTAAAGAGAATACTGAAACCTGGGGAGCCTCGATGACTTGAAGATGGACTGCAACCTGGACCTTCTGTCTCTTGTTGTTCCTTGCATCCCTAGTCAAATTTTGTTTCCTTTTAAAAATATATTTACTTTTATTTGTTATTTTATTATTTTCGAGACAGGTGCCCAGGCCGGTCTCAAACTCCTGGCCTCAAGTGATCCTCCCACCTCAGCCTCCCAAAGTGCTGGGATTACAGGCATGAGCCACAGTGCCCAGCCCAGATTTTATTTTTAAAGCTCACTAAGAATCCTAATTTTTTTTTTTTTAAAGACAGGGTCTTACTCTGTTGCCCAGGCTGCAGTACAGTGGCACTATCATGGTTCACTGCAGCCTCAACTGCCTGGGCTTAAGCAGTCCTCCCACCTCAGCCTGTCTTGTAGCTGGGATCACAAGCACATACACACCATCATGCCATCCTAATTTTCTTATTATTTGTAGAGATGGGGTCTTGCTATGTTGCCCAGACTGGTCTCAAACTCCTGGGCTCAAGGGATCCTCCTGCCTCCGCCTCCCAAAGTGCTGGGATTATAGGAATGAGCCTGACCCAAGAATCCTACATGTATCTCCTAAATGTATCTGTTCTTGACACCACACCAAGGCCTTTGGTACTGCAAGCTAAGGACAGGAGAGCTCTTGGTTTTATACCGGCAGAAGTTGGTGAAGAAGGGACAAGGATCTAAATGACAGCTTGTGCACCTCTGCTTGTCTTTATGCAGAGCTGTAACTGGGTGGGCTGGACACTTGAAGGATTCATTGGCTCTCAACTCCACCTGCCACCAAGGACTACCTGTCTTAAGCCACGGACTGAGATTAGGCCCCCTGTCCCATCCACATTCCCAGAAAGGAAAAGTAGCAAGAAAGGGATAGGAAACAAAATTTTACCAACTCTAATTCTTAACTTGACAGCTTTATGTATTTCTGCTCTCAATGAAATGTGAACTGTTCTTCTGAGAAGTTTGGCAATGAGGAAAAGAAGAGATGAGAGAGAAAAACAGACGTTTTAAAGTTATTTTGGGTCAGGTGCAGTGGCTCATGCCTATAATCCCAACACTTTGGGAGGCTGAGCCAGGCAGATCACCCGAGGTCAGGAGTTCAAGACCAGTCTGGCCAACATGGTGAA